GCGGCCGAGAAAGAAAAAGTATAATCAGCCTTCCACAATTTTCATGGGGGCACAGGACCGCTATGAAAAGGGGAAAAAAATCTATGAATATCTAGGTCCTCCAGCATAAACCTATGGTGAACTGCCACGGGAAACTGATCAGATAACCACATTGGAGGACCTAGAGATTCCATGGCAGTGTATATCTGATTCCTGGAGTCATGGGGAAACAAAATTCTGATAGCCAGCTTTCCTGAAACTTGCAGCTGACCGCTACCAGAAAAGGGGTGCCACAAAAGAAACTAGAAAGTCTCCATCTCACCCAGCAAAGTTCTTATACATAAAATCATGGAGTTGGAAGAGACTACAAGGGCCATCCAGTCCAACTCCCTGCCATGCAGGAAAACGTGTGCACACAAACGTCTTTTCCATCATGTCTGTGTCACACTATTGTACACTGAAAGACTTAAAACATTAGGAAATAACCTAACTACAATTACTTGCTGTTCACTATTAAAGGGTGCATCTACAAGGCAGAATTAATGCTGTTTGAGATCACTTTAGCTGCCATGACTCTATACCAGTGGTTCTTTCCCTGTGGGCCGCAGCCCAGCAGTGGACCACAAGAACGAAAATCCGGTCTACGAACCTCCTTCCTCTTTGTTTATTTATTTTACTTTATTTTATTTCTGCTCCTTTCCGCAGAGGTGACCAGCCCTGCACCTTTTGGTACTAATGTTGGAGAGTAGTCCCTGATCAAAGTGGTCCCTAGCCAATTGGCCCCTGTTCAAGTGGTTTGGAAGCACTGCTCTATTCAATGGAATCAGGAGAATTGTAGTTTGGTGAGGCAGTAGTACTATTTAGCAAGGAAGGCTAGATGTTCCAGCAATTTTTCAAGAATTATTAGTCCCTAGGCCCAGTCCCTAGCTAGCCAGATAGCACCCTGTCCTGCACCATCCACTTCCCCAGCCCTATGATATGCTATTTTTAGTGTGTTTAATGGGGTTTGGGTATTTTATCATGCTTGTAGTTGTTTTTATTTTGTTTGTTAAGTTAAATTTGGTTGTATTATATTGTAGAATGTGTTTATTTTGAGGTAATTGATGTAATTGTCTATATAGTTTTCTTCCTGGCAATTGAATGTTTGCCTTATATGTTGGAAACTGAAGACCTTATCAAACTACCTTGCAAAACTACAAATCCCATGACTCCATTGCATTCTGCCAGCGTAGTTCAAGTGCAATCAAAAGTGTACTGATTATTCAATAGAGGAACCCAATTAGAAGAGATTTCAGATCTTTCCTTGCAGCTGCATTTCATATCATGTTACATAATCAACCTCTGATGTGTTCATTTAATAATTGCTGGTTCAGTCCATTTTACTTTACTGATCTAGGAGTTTCCATTCCACCAACCCTCCCCTCCCCCTTCTTCTTCATTAGCAAGATTGGGAGAGAAAGAGCCATCTCCTCCGTAAGCCTTTCAGGAAATATAAAATCATGCTATTTTTCAGTCTCAAGTGAACTGCCCCACGTGTTATGTAATTTTCCAAGAAATCCGTACATGTGGCACCACCTGACTTTTCTCTATTCTGTGTGTTCAGTCATCAGCTAAGATGATTCCGCAACCCTCCTCTGGCCTGTTACGTTTCCAGTATCACCGGTCCCTCCACATGTGCAAACAGGCCTGTCGACTCAAGGCACATGGGCATGCACACACAGACACACACACACAGGAAGAGCACTGCCTCACGCTCTGACCACAGAAGCAACCAGGTGATCTCCATCCTATAGAAAAGATCCACCCAGCAGGCAGCCAGCAGGGCACACAACGTGATCCTGAGGAAAGAGGCATTTCAACAGGAATGAACGCACACACACACTCACACACAAAACACTGTCCTAGATCAGACTCTGATGCTGAAAGAAAGAAATCTCAAAAGCTCTCAAGTTAAGTTAATAAACCTCACCGAAAACAATAGAACATATTTCAAAGAGTAAAGCAATACGATCTACTCAGAAGTACAACCAAATTCAATGGAACTTTATTCTCTCCCTGAGATTAAGCGAGTTCCGGAAGACAGCTTAACCTATTTAGAAAGATGTAATCACTTTGTCTCTTCATCTGGATGTCAGTATCACCCAAACGTCTTGCTTACATCTCTTTCTGCTACAGCTTACCCTAGTTCTATCCCCCCCTATTAAAAAAAACAACATTGGTATTTCTTACCTCTTTAATCCCAGTCTCCACCTAGCCATCTCTCTTTGTCTCTTTTAGGAGGGATCAAAAGGAGATTTAGCGAGGCAAACCTTACAAACAGGTCTTTCTGAGAAGTATCTGCAGCGGAATGTTCTCCCAGGTGAGAACAGATGTGATTAAAGTAATCCTGTCCAGACTCTGATGGGAGTGAGTCTCAGTGACTCCAATGGGAATGGATTGCAAGTGTCGACGTAGCTATTTAAATAGGTCGGACTGGATGTCCCTTGCGGTATACTTTGATTCTAAGAAGGAATATTGGTGACTACAGCTAGCATGGTGTTACAGCTAGCATGGTGTTGAGTACTGGATGAGGACTCTGGTGACAGTAGTTTAAATCACTTTGCAGCCATGAAAACCACTGGGTGAGTCACATGTCGGTGGTGCAAGGGGTTAAACCCTTGTGCCAGCAGGGCTGAAGACCGACAGGTCAGAGAATTGAATCTGGGGAGAGCACAGAGCTCCCTCTGTCAGCTCCAGCTCCCCATGCAGGGACATGAGAGAAGTCCCTCACAAGGATGGTAAAACATCAAAACATCAAAACATCCGGGTGTCCCCTGGGCAACGTCCTTGCAGACGGCCAATTCTCTCACACCAGAAGTGACTTGCAGTTTCTCAAGTCGCTCCTGACAGACAAAAAAGGTGACAAATTTGGAGCCAATCCCTCTGAACCCTTTAATTTCACAGGAAAGTGGGATGTGGAGAATCTAGAACAGGCCTGGACAAACTTGGGCCCTCCTGGTGTTTTGGACTCCAACTCCCACGATTCCTAACAGCTTCAGGCCCCTTCCTTAAGTGGCTGAGGGGGGAAAGGAAGGGGCCTGAGGCTGTTAAGGATTGTGGGAGTTGGAGTCCCAAACACCAGGAGGGCCCAAGTTTGCCCAGGCCTGATACATATACATACTAATTCTCCCCTGCTACGTGTTGCTGTGGCCCAGTCTGTGTATATGTGTTTTGTGTGTGCATATATGTGTATAGATGTGGTTTTTGCAAATGCATTGTCATGGTTTTTTTTTTTTTGCTTTTGAAGTCCCTTCCACTGTGTTTTTCACTGTTTTTATGAGTGATGGTCACTCATTGGCCTGATAGATGTATTCTGTCCAAATTTGGTGTTTGAGTTATGTTAATCCCACAAACGAACATTACATTTCATAGAATCATAGAATCAGAGTTGGAAGAGGCCTCATGGGCCATCCAGTCCAACCCCCTGCCAAGAAGCAGGAATATTGCATTCAAATCACCCCTGACAGATGGCCATCCAGCCTCTGTTTAAAAGCTTCCAAAGAAGGAGCCTCCACCACACTCCGGGGCAGAGAGTTCCACTGCTGAACGGCTCTCACAGTCAGGAAGTTTTTCCACATTTTTATTTATATAGATTGTGTGATTTTGGTATCCGTGGATACTTACATCCCATTATATGTAATTAAATTTTAAAAGGATGTTCCTTATACAAAATGGGAACACCAAGGTTTTTTTAAAAAATATATTTGCAGTGGATAATGGTATCCGCGGATACGGAGGTCCGACAGCATAGGGTTGCACTGCAAGACCTCCGAGGATTCTAACCACGCCCCCTTTCCCTGAGTAAGAGGGACTCATTCCATCCTGGCTCTATAAAGGGAACCAATCGAACGCAAGGGCGGGGAGGGGGCGTGGCTTCCGCGCGCTGTCCCCGCCCCCACGTGTCCCTGTCTCTTCACCTCCCTGGATGTAGGTCACCAAAACAAGAGCCGCCCGCCGCCGGCTTCACGTGGCCGCGCACGCGGTCTCCTGGCGAGGCCTCTCCGGCTTTATTATGTAATCTCGACGTCACAGCCACGGCACAGCCAATCAGGGCACACGCCGCGCCGAACGTAAACAAAGAGGCGCACATGGCTCTGCCGGCGAGTCCATGTGAAGACAGGGAGGAGGAAGAAGCAAGGAAGTGGGAATGGGGGGGAGATCTCGTTGCTTTTCAGCTACAACTATTGAGGGGCCTCACCCCCAAAATGTATCCCATGGATCATTAACCCTACTTCAATCCTACAATGAAAACAAAAGGCTCCAACAGGATCAAAAGACAGTAAGGGACCAAGTCCACACTGCAGAATGAATGGAGTTTGACACCGCTTTGAACTCAGTTTGGCGAGAAAGTAAAGACTTTCTGTATATATTTCAGATTTCAATATTAATGTCAAAAATACATAGTATGATTTTACATAGGATTTGTGGAGCATCAGAACAGTAAAGACAAATATCACTTAAGTAAAATAAACATTAAATAACCAGAAAAATAAAATAAGGTGTAAACACTAAACTAATCTGGGAATCTGCTATGGCAACACATCTAATGAAGTGGTTTAAAACCAGTATTGAAAAAGATTAGGACTAAGTACGTCCCAGTCTCAAGACCCTGTCAAACGACTACACCTCCCAGCACCCCATAGTAATGAGCCAGGACAAACTACATTAATCCTAATGCTTAGATGCACCCCTCTTCTTTCAATGCCACTTCTTTCTGGGATTTTAATACTTTTTTTAAAAAATGTAACATTTTAGAATAATATAACATTCCAATTCATTTAATATATTAAATATTGAAAATCTAATAAAACATAATATAAATAATATTTAAAAGTAATTAAAACGTAATAAATGTTTTTAAATAATTAATAATTGCCTCCATTGAGCTCCAATGGTTCCCAATGAGGCCACCTCTCCCTCTTTCAATCAATGCCTCTGTTAGAGTGTAGATTTCCCATGATCAGAAGGGACCCCACACTCACCTGCATTGAGCTCCATGGCTTCCCCCTTCTCTTGCTCTCGATCTTGGGTGGAGAAAGCGGCGGAGTTGGGGCGCTTTCCTTCGGGGTCCCCCTTCCTCCTCTATTTCTCTGTTAAGGAAGGAAGGGAGGAAAGGAAGGAGGGAGGAAGGCAGAGCCACTGCGGCAGCCGGGATCAAGGGAGGCGCCTGGGACCTCTGCGTGGCTCTGCCTCGTGGGTTGAGCAGAAATGAGGCTCAACCGCGGAGCTCTTTCCTGGAGAAGTTTTCTTGCTGAGCTGGCTCCTGCCCTCTCACTCCTGGAGCTGCTGCTCCCTCCTCCTCTTCTTCCTCCTCCTCCTTCCAGGCAAAAAGGAGGAGGAAGCTCTGACCCACGTGCCTCCCTCCTCTTCTCTTCTCCCCTCCCCTCCTTTACCTGCCAGCCCCTTTCACCCAGTGGCACACTTTCCAGGGAGGGAAGGGGTTGTTTCTTGTAGACCCCCGTGGGCAACCAGACACGTGTCTCAAGCCCTTGAGTAGTCCATCCAAGGCAGGATGAAACAGAATGGCAAGCAACCCCAGGAGGGCAGTAAATTGGGGTGACTGAGCTGTCTCTGTTGGAAATAGCAACCTTCTTCAAGCCTCCACTAGTAATTTGTTTGTATATCATTCGATTGCTTATTGTATTGTATTGTAAAATTGGGTGCCCTGACAATTTGTGACAATTTGTGAACATCCTGTGGCTCCTCTGGGATGACAACAGTTTTGGACACCAATGGATCCCAAAGTGACCCATTTAAGATGGAATCAGGTATTTATTTATGGTGTCATCAGTAACCAGACCATTGTATTACATTTCTAACAGAACAAAACAAACAAACAAACAAACAGATAAAAAACCACAAATTTTGCAAGCTTCGTAGTTGATTAAATGTCCTTTGACCAGTATCTGGCCACTTGGAGTGCCTCTGATGTTGCCACAAGAAGGTCCTCCATTGTGCATGTAGCAGGACTCAGGTTGCATTGCAGCAGGTGGTCAGTGGTTTGCTCTTTTCCACACTCGCATGTCGTGGATTCCACTTTGTAGCCCCATTTCTTAATATTGGCTCTGCATCTCGTGGTGCCAGAGCGCAGTCTTTTCGGCACCTTCCAAGTCACCCAGTCTTCTGTGTGCCCAGGGGGGTCTCTCATCTGGTATCAGCTATTGATTGAGGTGCTGGGTTTGAAACTGCCACTTTTTACACTGCTTAGCCACCTGACATCCGCCGGGAAGTAGTAGCCAATAGTGAAAGGACCAAGGCAGTGACATCTCCAGCTCATCCAGCACGTCACCGACTTAAATCAAAAAATAGTTTTCTTTGATCTACAGAAACACTCGCTGTAACACCTCAGCAAGCGAGAGTTCAAAAGGTGGAATCAGGTGTCAAACAGGGATGTCAATTGCACTACGTTGGAAAGAATACTACCAATGCCTCCTGAACCGCAGCTCCAATGTGGCCGAAGAGGTTCTCTCACAAATCCCGCAACAACAAACCAGGGATGAGCTTGCAGCACTGCCTAGTTTGGAAGAAGTCAGCAATGCCATCAGCCAACAAAAAAATAACAAAGCCAGCAGACCTGATGGGATCCCTGCTGAAATCTTTAAAGAGGGAGGACCTGAGCTGACACAACAACTCCACCAGCTCATAGAAAAAGTGTGGGTGACCGAGAAAATCCCAGCAGATTTCAAGGATGCCACCATCATCACCCTCTTCAAAAAAGGGGAAAGAACAGACTGCGGAAACTATCGAGGTATCTCCCTCCTAACCTCCGCTGGGAAAATCCTCGCAAGAATCCTTGCAAACCGCCTTCTACTCCTCTCAGAAGACACCCTCCCAGAATCCCAGAACGGCTTCCGCCCCGCCAGAGGAACAGTGGACATGGTCTTCACTGCACAACAGCTCCAAGAAAAATGCAGGGAACAAAATCAACCTCTGTACATGGCATTCGTTGACCTTGTAAAGGCATTTGACACAGTGAATCGCAGCGCTCTCTGGACCATCCTCCAAAAAATTGGGTGCCCAAACAAATTTGTGAACATCCTGCGGCTCCTCCATGATGACATGATGGCAACAGTCTTGGACAGCAATGGCTCCCAAAGTGACCCATTTAAGGTGGAATCAGGTGTCAAACAGGGATGTGTTATTGCCCCAACTTTATTTTCCATCCTCATTGCTATGATACTTCATCTCGTTGATGGGAAGCTTCCCACCAGAGTGAAAATCATCTATCAGAGAGACAGCAAGCTACGTAACCTCAGCAGACTGAAAGCCAAAAACAAGGTTACAACAACATCTGTTATAGAACTCCAATATGCTGATGACAATGTCGTCTGTGCGCATACAGAAGAAGACCTACAAGCTACTCTAAACATCTTCACAGAAGCATACGAGAAGCTCGGCTTGTTATTGAAATTGAGAAAACCAAAGTGCCCTTCCAGCAGGCACCAGACAACCTGTCTGCAATGCCAGAAATACAGCTTAATGGTGTAACATTAGAAAATGTTGACCATTTCCATTACCTTGGCAGGCACCTCTCCACAAAAGTCAACATTGACACTGAAATACAACACCAACTGAGCTCTGCGAGTGCAGCATTCTTCCGAATGAAGCAGAGAGTGTTTGAGGACCAGGACATCCATAGGAATACCAAGGTACTTGTTTATAAAGCTATTGTCCTCCCAACCCTGCTATATGCCTGCAAAACGGGGACTATCTGCAGACGTCACAGGCAACTCCTGGAACAATTCCATCAGCGTTGCCTCCAAAAACATTCTTCAAATCTTTTGGGAAGACAGGCGGACAAACGTCAACGTGCTGGAAGAAGCAAAGACCATCAGCATTGAAGCGATGGTTCTCCGCCATCAACTTCACTGGACCGGCCATGTTGTCCGAATGCCTGATCACCATCTCCCAAAGCAGTTGCTCTATTCTGAACTCAAGAACAGGAAACAGAATGTTGGTGGACAGAAAAAGAGATTTAAAGATGGGCACAAAGCCAACCTTAAAAACTGTGGCATAGACACCAAGAACTGGGATGCCCTGGCCTTTGAGCGCTCCAGCTGGAGGTCAGCTATGACCAGCAGTGCTGTAGAATTTGAAGAGGCATGAATGGAGAAAGAGAGAAGCATGCCAAGAGAAAGGCGCATCAAACCAACCCCGACCGGGACCACCTTCCACCTAGAAACCAATGCCCTCACTGCGGGAGAACATGCAGGTCAAGAATAGGGCTCCACAGTCACCTACGTATCCACCGCCAAGATACATCACTTGGAGGACCATCATCCTCTGACTATGAGGGATCGCCTAAGTAAGTAAGTAAGTAAGTAAGTAAGTAAGTAAGTATATTGTGTGCAATCTGCATGAGCCTTCTAACCAAGGTGAAAGAAGAAAGTACAAAAGTTGGGTTACAGTTAAACACCAAAAAAACCCCAAGGTTATGGCAACCAAACTGATTGATAACTGGCATATAGAGGGAGAAAACATGGAGCCAGTGACAGACTTCGTATTTCTAAGCGCATTTGTAACCTTTTCGTACTAATGTTGGGGAGTGGTCTCTGGTCAAGTGGTCCCTGGTCAAAAAGAGGTTGTGAACCACTGCTTTAGACTATGGGCTGTTGGTTATAAGACCAATGCCCTGTATTATCTGCACAGAGAAACTACTTCAAATCCTATCTGTAACTGGACTGATAGCAATGTACCTGTATGCTGAATACATGAAGTTTGTGAGTAAACCAACTATGTTACTTTTAAAGAAGACTACTTAATTTTGTTTCATGAGAGCATGATTAAAAGCAAGATGTTTTATAGGAGAATAGATGTTTTTGTGCAACTGAAAAGAACACTTCTGAAGCTCTGCTTTTTTTTTTGTGCATTGACATATCTTTGTTCCTAACAGTGCAAAGAGTTATCTAGGTATATCAGTCTAACTACAGCTGAGAAACCGAATTGCCTAAGGACTAGGTTGACTCAAGTGAGTTTTTAACTCTTCTCAGGAAGATAATATTTTCCAGAAAGTGAAGTGAAATCTTCTGAATGGGGCACAAGCAGCAAAACAAACAGTACAGTGGGGTTCTCAAAGCATGCATATATATATAGGAGAGTGCCAAAGGTTTCCCAGTGATACTGGGAGAATTTGACACCTCCACTACATATCGTTTGACTGCACTTTGTGCCGTATATCACACATAAGCTTGGGTACCCAGCAATGCCTGGGTTATTTGAAAGAGGCATTGTTTGTTTTTGAATGTAAGATAATATCATCTAGGTAATTTGTTACACTATTTATTAGGGGAAAAGCCATATTTCCTTTTTTTAATGCTCCCATTAGAAAATGCATAAGGATGTGGGTGAACTACAATTTCCAAAATCATGGGTCAATCCTTCCTGCCAGTATTCAAAGTTTGCCATGTTAGGTCTTTGTTCCAAGTTTAGTCGAGATCCATCGACGTCTGGATTCTGTGCTCTCTGGATATGGGTGAACTACAACTCTTAGCATTCAAGATCAATCAACCCCAACCCCCGCCTGTATTCACAATTGGTCATATTGGATCTGTGTGCTAAGTTGGTCCAGATCTGTTGTMGGCTGTGTTCAGTGCTCTCTGAATAAGGGTGAACTTTAATTCCCAAAAAKCAAGGTCAATCACCCYCAAACTCTGCCTGTATTCACAGCTGGTGAGGAGAAGCATGTTGGGCCGATGTGCCAAGTTTGGTCCCAGTCCATTGTCTTTTGGGGGGGGGGGGGTCACGGTTCCTCTGGATGCGGATGAACTACAACTCTCTGAAATCAAGATCAGTTCTCCCCAATCCATTTTGCTCAGCTGCATGTGGGCAAATCTGGATCCAACAAATAGTATATTATTACTTTCAGAAATGCAAACTTTCAGAATTATCCATATTTAGTTACTACTTTCACTTTCTCCCTCTTGTCTGTTTCCAGTATGATGACTAGAAGAAGCCATGCTAGATCCTCTCACAGATTGGCTCAAATAAAGTTCAGCTTGAAAATTTGGGATCTCTTTATTGAGATTGCAAAACATCCTGTGCTGAACTGCTGATCATTTCAAAGCATTAACAGATGCAGTGATTATATTGAAGTCAAGCACCATGTCATCTCTCAGTCATAGTATCACTGCAGTTGCAGCACTGACAGGAAATACTTGCTCCAAAAATATAACACATTTTTTTTCTCAGAACACCACAGGATCTCTCACTGAAACAGATAACTTGTGATTCTGCGATGGCAGGGAATCTGCCATTGGCACAAGTGCAAACAATATGTAGTGGTGGTGTTCAGTTCTCCCATTATCACTGGGAAATCT